AAAAAAAAAAAAAAGAAAGAAAGTGATAACTTGTAATAGACTTGGGGAGATCAGTTAGTCTTCACAGAGTTCACAGGAGCCACTGACTAAAACATAGAATGCTAAGGTGCTGGTGGTGAGCCCTGCTGGGCTCACCTGGACTCCTGGGGCCTTTGGTGGTTGACCCCAGGCTGGCAGGAGCACAGGCAGCTCTGGGTAAAGCCCATAGCAGGGCTTAGTGTGTGACCTAGGAAATACCAGGCAAGAGACCTCTGGCAGGGGGTCTGAGGGCTCTGTGCTTAGAGTGGGCTGGAGCTGGAAGCTCAGGTTGTGGGGCCAGCAGCTATGACAGAGAGCCCAAGATGAGTGCTGTGGGCTAGGCAGGATGTGAGGGACAGCTGTGGCCCAGCAAGGGCCAGCACACAGATGGTTCCCAGAGAGGTGAGAGTGAGAGGACACAGGATGTGGGGGCAGTTGCCCACTTCACCAGTAACTGTGCTGGTCTCTCCCACACAGGACCTCCTCACTCCGGTGGAACTCAGGCACCAAGGAGCGTGTTCTCATCAAGGTGGCCGACCGTGAGCCCAGCTTCCTTGCCACCCAGGGCAATGGCTACACCCCAGACAGCCAGTCTGGGGGCCGCTCCCGCAGGCCCTCGGGCAGCCAGCACTCACCTGGCCTACAGACCTTCTCCCCTGAGGCAGATGGCAATATCTTCTTCCCAGACAGGAGGCCATCCCCATTCCTAAAGAGAGCTGAGCTCCCTGGGACCTGCTCCCCGCTATTGGCCCAGCCCCGAAAACCTTCTAGTGATTCGCAGCCCTCTTCCCCACGCTATGGCTATGAGCCCCCTCTCTATGAGGAGCCCCCAGTGGAGTACCAGGCCCCCATCTATGATGAGCCCCCTATGGACGTGCAGTATGAGGCCAGTGGCAGCTTCCAGGCTGCCTCACCGCAGAGGTCCCCGGGCCGCAAGCCCCGGGCCTTCTTGGCACCCTCCAAGCAAGCACCACCCTCGCCCTGCCAGCAGCTGGTACTCACCAGGCAGAAGTGCCCAGAGCGCTTCATGAGCCTGGAGTACAGCCCTGCGGGCAAGGAGTATGTGCGGCAGCTGGTGTACGTGGAGCAGGCCAGCTCTAGCCCCAGGCTACGTGCAGGACCCCGGCACAAGTATACACCCAACCCTGGCGGTGGCTCCTATTCCCTACAGCCCAGCCCCTGCCTGCTGAGGGACCAGCGCCTGGGGATTAAGTCTGGAGACTACAGCACCATGGAGGGGCCCGAGCTCCGGTCTGGCCCAGTCCACGCACCTCTAATGCAGGCCCAGGAGGACACCATGTCTTGGTCCAGCCAGCAGGACACCTTGTCCTCCACGGGACACTCCCCAGGCACACGCAAGAGAAAGAGCAGGAAGCCTTCTCTGTGCCAGGCCCCTGATGGCCCAGGGGACCTGCTCCGGGAGCAGCCCCTGGCAGAAGAACGGCCCCCCTGTGGGCCCAGCCTTACCCCCGTGAAGCATGTGGAGGGTGAGGTGGATGGGGTACAGGGCGTGGCCGAGCCCTTCCTGGCTCAGGCGCGGTTGGCCTGGGAGGCACAGCAGGCCCACTTCCACATGAGGCAGAGGAGCAGCTGGGACTCCCAGCAGGATGGCTCTGGCTATGAGAGCGATGGCGCCTTGCCCCTGCCCATGCCTGGGCCTGTGGTGCGCGCCTTCAGTGAGGACGAAGCACTGGCGCAGCAGGACAGCAGGCACTGGAAGAGGGGTACCTTCGAGAAGCTTGGCTTCCCCCAGATCTTGCTCGAGAAGAGCATTTCTGTGCAGACCAATCTGGCCTCACCGGAGCCTTACCTGCACCCCTCACAGGTGAGGGCACCATGACGGGGTTGGGTCCCTGGGCCCACCAGGTGCCAGGTCAGCCCAAGATCTTGAGGACAGCATGCGGGACAGGAGGGTGGGCAACAGGCCAAGCCCAGTGTCCTACTGTTCGTGATCTCAGTGTGGCACTTAGCAGGCCTAACACCTGGCATCTTGAGGCTGCCACAGAGGGTGAATGGGGCTCTGAGGGACTTCACATCAATGGAGCAGATGGGGAAGATAGTCCCCCAGCACTGTGTCTGAGGCCCTGAGGAGTGGGGCTGTGGGGGCACCAGGCCCTGTGCTGGTTCTCAGAGCCAGTCCCAGGGTAGAAGAGCCTCTTAGGCAGGAAGGGTTACTAAAGAGGTGGCCCAGCGGGTCCTGGGGTGTTATGGCCATGGCTAGAGCCAGACCAGAGGCCCAGTCTGGAGCACTCCCAACATAGTACTAGGAACGGGCATGGTTCAGGCTTCCCAGCTGGCATGCAGCTCTGTCTAGCAAATCAATGCCTCCCTCAGGTCCCTGGGGCTCTGTGTTCTCTAATATATACTTGTTTTCACTTTTTTTTTTTTTCCTTGAGACAGAGTTTCACTCTGTGCCCTGGGAACAGTGCTGTGACATCATAGTTCATAGCAACCTCAAACTCTTGGGTTCAATTAATCCTCTTGTCTCAGCCTCCCAAGTAGCTGAGACTACAGGCGCCCCCCAACAATGCCCAGCAAGTGTTTTTATGTTTAATAAAGATGAGGTCTCACTCTTGATCAGGCTAGTCTTATACTCCTGAGCTCAAGCAGTCCACTTGCCTTGGCCTCCCAGAGTGCTGGGATTACAGGCGGGAGCCACCCCACCTAGTCCTTGTTTTCACTTTTGCTTCTTACCTATCATCTCGGCTGCCACAAGCACAGGAAGCCTAGGCTAAGGGCAGACCCAGTGTCTGCTAGTTTAAGTGCCAGGGAGGGTAGAGAGTGAACCCAAAGAGCCTCTTAGAATGGGGAGTGGCTACCTTGAGAGCTACCCTGTGGCCTTAGGTTCCCCCAGGCGTCAATTCCTCATGCTGTGGAAAAAGGGCAGGGCAGAGAGGCTCAGGTGCACAGGGTCCCCTGAGAGCAACAAGGGGAAGGTCTTCCTGCAGGACAAGCTCTTCCCAGGTAAAGGTGGGAGGAAGGGTCTCAGGCCACACAGGTGTCAGGAGATGGAGCCCAGAGTGAGCTGCTACCACTTTCATAGGAGGCAGCTGCGTGAGAGCTGTCCCAGCCTGGGTGTGGTCCCAAGGCCTTGCTCCTCACCCTGCCTGCCATCAGCCTTGTCTGCTCCAGCTGCTCTGCTTCCCGGGTACTGGGCTCAGGCTCCTGGCCATGCCTGCCTGGCCCTTCTACCTCAAGCAGCCTCGGTGAGCAGAGGAGCCCTTCACCCTACCAGGTCAGGCAGGGCCCCACACACACCCCTCCCAGGCACTCTGGGGCTGTGGTCCTGTGAGCCCACCTTCCCAGTATGCCCAGCCCCCACGGCTCAGCCCCGTTTGTCCTTCCCAGTCTGAGGACCTCGGTGCCTGTGCCCAGTTTGAGGGCAGTCGGCAGAGCCGCAGTGTGATGCCCAGCTCCAGCTGCGTCTTCCCTTCCTTCACTCTGCGTAAGCCCTCTTCAGAGACTGACATCGAGAACTGGGCCTCCAAGCACTTCAACAAGCACACCCAGGGCCTCTTCCGGCGGAAGGTGTCCATCGCCAACATGCTGGCCTGGAGCAGTGAATCCATCAAGAAGCCCATGATCGTGACCAGCGACCGGCACGTGAAGAAGGAAGCCTGCGAGCTCTTCAAGCTGATCCAGATGTACATGGGTGACCGGCGGGCCAAGGCAGATCCACTGCATGTGGCCCTGGAGGTGGCCACCAAGGGCTGGAGCGTGCAAGGGCTGCGTGATGAGCTGTACATCCAGCTGTGCCGGCAGACCACTGAGAACTTCCGCCTGGAGAGCCTAGCCCGGGGCTGGGAGCTCATGGCAATTTGCCTGGCCTTCTTCCCGCCCACACCCAAGTTCCACTCTTACCTAGAGGGCTATATCTACCGACACATGGACCCTGTCAACGATACTAAAGGTAAGGCCAATGGGGTTGTCGTAAGCACCCCAGGCTCTCTGCTCAGGGAAGGGCCATGGTGGGGCTCAGGCTCTGGTGCTGACCCACACTTGGCAGCACCTGGCAGGTCCCAGCAGTCCTGTGAGGCCCCCAGGAGAGGGTATACATCTCTGGAAGGTGCCACCCGGTGTCTGCTGGGACGTGGGTGTTGTTGGGGGCCCTGAGGAGACTGCCAGGAAGTCTTAGCAGAGATAAGAACACATGGCCTCAGTGTCTTGGCTGGCCAGCATCCACTCTGCTCCAAGCCCACTATGGTTGGTCACCCTTCCTGACAAGGTGAGGGCAGGAGTAGTCAGGCCACTTCATCCCTGCTACATTTGTTTTTTGCCGTCCTGCAGCCTAGAAACTTAGGTGATCAGGGTTTAGAAGGCACGGCCCAGCAGAAAGCTCTTGTGTGCAGGCAGGAACCTGATGGTGGGCTTGACCTATCCAGATGTCTCAAAGCCTGTGCTGGTGGTGAGCTGCTTTAGGCGGTTTGAAGTTGCAGCCAGCATAGGTAGCCACTTGCTTATGCCCAGAGTCTGCCTTGGGCTCCCACAACTGGTCTCTGGGCCTGGGCCATGGTCCTGCCAGCTGGGCAGCTCCTGTGTGACTGATCTAGTGGTCAGACTAAGCCCCAAGCTTGGCAGAGCAGGCACAGGGGCAGGCCTGTGTCTCTGGCAGGCTGTCCACACCTATGTTGTGGGCATTGCCAGAGCACAGCAGGAGGCTGACATCTGGACAAATAGGAAACATGTGTGCACATGTCCCCTGCTCCAAGAGAGCAGGCTGCTCTGTCCAGTGGGCAGCCACCTAGTCTGGCCTTGACCTCTGCAGTGGTGGAGCCCAGCTCCAGTGCTAGGGTGGTGGCCTCCCTGCTGTGGGGCTGGATGTGTGTTCCCAAAGCAGGGGCTGTAGGCTGTGGGGTCCTGGAGACTGTGGACGGGGTGCCAGGCATAGGAACTGCCCAGCATGCCGGCTGCTCATGGGAGAGTGGGAATCTGTGTGTTTTCACCCCAGGTATGTATTTGTCAATACAAGGTCACAATGGAGACAAGTCTGGTGGGTGGCCTGGCCTACTGGCGCGTAGCTGTAGAAGGATCTTGGCAGGAGCCAAGGCTGTGTCCTATGGGCATCACAATTCACCTCCTCAGTCTCTTCCAAAGGGGCCTTGAAATGCCCGGCCTTGAGCTGGAGGCCATGGAAATGTGTTCCTGCTGCTCAGCACAGCACACAGCCCGCAGTGGGCAGCAGATATGTGACTAGACCAGACCCACTGGCTGAGGCTTCTTTTAGGAGACTGTCCAGACCACATTCAGGAGGGCCCAGGACCTTCTCTGCACACACGGGTTTGTGTGTTTTTTGTCCTGGCTGGCATGTACAAGGGAATCAGCTTTCAGCTTGGGCAGGCATGGCTTCAAAGCCCTCAAGGTAAAGTACCACATGCCTGGGACCTTGGGGAGACTGGAGCTCTGTGTGATTCCCATCATCAGTGGCCTACATCTAGGCTGTGGTGCTGGGGCCACCCTCATAGCCACCCCGTCTGCAGCCACAAGATCCACTTCTAGGCTCATCTGTTAGAGGCTCTGCTCAGCCCCAAGCCAGAGGAGAGGTCTAAAGCGATCATCCATTCTAAAATGGGCCTCACATTCTCTCCAACCAGTCCCTATCCTTGGGAGGTGCCACTTCTCACATGCAAGCAATGTGGGTGAGACAGATAGGCCATTTCTGCCTAGGAAGATGTAACCTGTGCTTGTGAGGACCTTAGGAAAGAAAACTGCAGCCCACAAGGACAGGGCGCCTGTCTGGGGGCACATGCTGAGAGGCAGAGCCAAGCCCCGGTCCTGACCCCCGTGCCCCCGGCACATCGCCATGAACCACCTGCTTGTCTTGGCCTCAGGAACCTCTGACTCATCTACCAGCATCTGTGTGACCTCCACTGTGTAGTTACCACCCCCTGGGACCAAAGTACCAGGAGGTGAGCCCAGCTCAGCCTGTCTTGTGTATGTGGCTATGCCTTCTCAACAGGCACCTGCACGTTCTCCTGGCTCATTCCTAGGACCATCCTCAGGCCCTGGACAAGACATCAAGGTGCCTCTACCACCTGCTGTGCTCACTCAGCAGGGCTTCCTGGCCCTAGCTCATGCTTTGACTCTGCTTGAACTCTTGCTAGAAAAACACAGTGAAGGTTTAGAATGAAGAAAGGTGAATATAAATAAGAATTTAAGGCTCAGTGCCTGTAGCACAGTGGTTATGGTGCCAGCCACATACACCAAGGCTGGTGGGTTCAACCTCAGCCCAGACCAGCTAAACAACAACAACCACAACAAAAAATAGCCGGGCGTTGTGAGGGGTACCTGTAGTCCCAGCTACTTAGGAGGCTGAGGCAAAAGAATCACTTAAGCCCAAGAGTTTGAGGTTACTGTGAGCTGTGACGCTATAGCACTCTACTGAGGGTGCTATAATGAGACTCTGTCTCAAAAAAAAAAACAAAACAGTGAAGGAATCTTTAGAAGGCTAAAAAACCCCCACAAAGGAATGTAAAATGGTTCAGCCACCAAGAAAAATAGCATGGCAGTTGCTCAAATAATTAAAAATAGAATTATCAGGCTGGATGTTGTGGCTCAAGCCTATAATCACAGCACTCTTTTTTTTTTTTGAGACAGTAGCCTTCAGCTGTCTCCCTGGGTAGAGTGCTGTGGCATCACAGCTCACAGCAACGTCCAGCTCCTGGGCTCAAGCAAGTGTCCTGCCTCAGCCTCCCAAGTAGCTGGGACCACAGGCACCCGCCACAACGCCCAGCTATTTTTTTTTGGTTGCAGCCATCACTGTTGTTTGGCAGGCCCGGGCTGGATTCAAACCCACCACCTTGGGTGTACATGGCTGGCGCCTTAGCCACTTGAGCCATAGGTGCCGAGCCAATCACAGCACTCTTTAGAGGCCAAGGCAGGAGGATCCCTTGAAGTCAGGAGTTGGAGACTAACCTGAGCAAGAGGGAGACCGTTTCTGCTAAAAGTAGGAAAATGAGATGGGCATTGTGGTGGGCGCCTATAGTCCTAGCTACTTGGGAGACTGAGGCAGGAGGATCACTTGAGCCCAGAAGTGTGAGGTTGCTGTGAGCTATGATGTCACTGTATTCTACTCAGGGTGACAGAGTGAGACTCTGTCTCAAAAAATAAAATAAAATAGAATTACCACATAACCACCAATTCTACTGCTGGATCTAAACAAGGACTCTAACAGGTATTTGTACTTATATTCATAACACATTATTCACAACAGCTAAAAAGTGGAAATGATGTAAGTGACCACCAACAGGTGACTGGATAAACAAAATGTGTAAATACATAAAGTGGAAAATTACTTGGCTTTAAAAAGGAAAGAAATTCTGACACCTACAACAACAGGAATGAACCTTGAGGACATTACACTGAGTGAAAGAAGCCTATCATAGAAGGACAGAGACTGTGACTCGGCTTCTGTGAGATCCTTAGAGCCCTCAGATTCATAGGGACAGAAAGTAGAAGGGTGGATGCCAGGGGTTGGGTGCAGAGAAATGCACTTAGTGTTTAATGGGATGACAAAAAGCTCTGGAGATGGGTGGAGGTGATGGTTTACAACAGTGTGAGTATATTTAATGCACTGAACTGTACATTTAAAAATGGTTAAAATGGGGCTGGGCATGGTAGCTCATGCCTGTAATCCCAGCACTCTGGTGGGGCAGAGGCAGGTGGATCCCTTGAGCTCAGGAGTTGGATACCAGCCTGAGCAAGAGCGAGACCCCGCCTCTACTAAAAATAAAAAACTAGCCATATGCTGTGGTGGATGCCTGTGGTCCCAGCTACTTGGGAGGCTGAGGCAGGAACATTACTTAAGCCCAGGAGTGTGAGGTTGCTGTGAGCTATGATGTGTACAATCCCTTTCAGAAAATTGAAGTAGGGGCTCGGTGCCTGTGGCTCAAGTGGCTAGGGCGCCAGTCACATACACCGGAGCTGACAGGTTCGAATCTAGCCTGGGCTTGCCAAACAACAATGACAACTACAACAACAACAACAAAAAATGACTGGGAATTGTGGCGGGCGCCTGTAGTCCCAGCTACTTGGGAGGCTGAGGCAAGAGAATTGCTTAAGCCCAAGAATCTGAGGTTGTTGTGAGCTGTGACATCAGGACACTCTACCAAGGGCAACATAGTGAGACTCTGTCTCAAAAAAAAAAAAAGAGCTAAACTTTGGGCAGCACCCATGGCCCAAAGGAGTAGGGCACCAGCCCCAAATACCAGAGATGGCGGGTTCAAACCTGGCCCTGGCCAAAAACTGCAAAAAAAAAAAAAAGAAAGAAAGAAAGAAAAGAAAAGAAAATTGAAGTAGGGCCAGGTACAGTGGCTCATGCCTATAATCCCAGCACTCTGGAAGGCTGAGGCAGATGGATTGCTTGAGCTCAGAGGTTCAAGACCAGCTTGAGCCAGAGCAAAACCCCACCTCTACAAAATAGCTGGGCGTTGTGGCAGTCGCCTGTAGTCCAGCTACGTGGGAGGCTGAGGCAAGAGAATCGCTTAAGCCCAAAGGGTTTGATGCTGCTGTGAGCTGTGATGCTACAGCACTCTACCGAGGGTAACACAGTGAGACTGTATCTCACAAAAAAAGAAAAGGAAGTATCCCTCATGAATGTAGATGCAGAAATTCCTAATAATCTTTTAGTAAAATAAATCCAACACTATATAAAACAGGTAATGTATCTTGACTAAGTGGAGTTTATCCTAGGAATGAATGCTCAGTATAATGTTAAAAAAAAATGTAAATCACCATATTAACAAAATAAAAAGTAAAACTGTGGGTGGTGCCTATGGCTCAGTGAGTGGAGCGCCGGCCCCATATACTGAGGGTGGTGGGTTCAAACCCAGCCCCGGCCAAACTGCAACAAAAAAATAGCCCAGCGTTGTAGCGGGTGCCTGTAGTCCCAGCTACTTGGGAGGCTGAGGCAAGAGAATTGCCTAAGCCCAAGGAGTTGGAGGTTGCTGTGAGCCGTAACTTCATGGGTTAATAAGTGAAACTCTGCCAAGGGTTAATAAGTGAAACTCTGTCTCAAAAAAAAAAAAAGGATACCTGTATCTTCTCAATAGGTATAGAACAAGCATTTGACAAAATCGAACATTCCTTTTTGTTTTCTTTTCTTTTTTTAAGATACAGGGTCTTGGCTC